ACCGTTCTGTGATTCTATGATTCAAGCCACGGGCACGGTGTCTTGAATTGTATTGTCTTCAGTCCTGAGAGCCTTTGCTATTATGCTTCTAAATCAATCTCTACGACTGAATGATGTAAAACAAAAATCACTCCCTGCGTAACCTTCGCTGGCCTCGAGGCACGTCTCAGAGACGCTACAGAGAGGCACCCTGTGAGGCATGAAAACACCGTTCGTTCTGAAGATACTGGCGTGCAAATCACTGAATGCATTTTGCTTCTCGTTTCTATAGTGCCTATCGCCAGAAAGAGCCGGACGGCCATGCTGGCCCAGCGGCACACGGCGAGAGCTCCCACGCTGACAGAACAAGCGCTTGGGACCGAGCAAGGGCCCGACTCACAGCCCACAGAAGTCAATGGGAGCCCTTTCATTCACGTCTGCGGGCCAGAAGCGAGCACAAGGAGCCAGTCTTTAACCACGACTGAAGTGCGGTTATCCTAGCTACTACAAACAGAGAAATTCTTATTTTGATTCACAGCAATACTACGGTCCTCGGAGTGCTTCTCTCTGTTTATATTTCAAGGGTTTTCCTCCTTAATCTGTTCTCAGCTTGTCTTGGGGCCCTGCCATGCCTTTATGAAATTTTAATTCTAACCCCAAATTAATTCACTCCAAACTTTGTTTTCATTAACTTTGACATGGAACTTTTCTCATCCCTAATAACCTTTACCATACAAAGTTAAGAAGGAGAATGGTACCCCCATCCAAGAAAAAACCCGCTAGCAGAAATCCATGATCTGCCAGATTCCGCCCAGCTTCAAAACCTTAACCAGAGAAACTCCCTTCTTTTATTATTTCCCCAGAGGCAAATCCATGTGTAGCCTGAAAAAAAAAAGTTCATGTAGAATCACATGGAACTGGAATGGTCCAGGACCAGGGGGACAGAAGCCAAGGGGCCCCTGAAGGGACTGTGTCCTGAAAATGGATTGTGTCCTGTGCTATGTGTGGGCCTCCGTAACACTGAACGCATCTGACAAGTGCTGCCTAGGAGAGGCACGGATTTGAGAGAATGATGTAATGACTCAGCCTAACTGAAAAAAAATACCCTCCAGTGAGTACAGGAATAGCTTTACCAGCTTAATCGTCCCTTTGTCTGTACTGATTTGACCTAGTAAATATGATAAAACACAGATTCTTCTGAAAAATTCCTTCTGGGATAGATTGGCATACTACCACAGATAGTGGTGCAACTGTTACAATTCACACAGATGGGAAATCTGCATTGTGCAGTAATCACATCTTACTGCTGCTTCGGTTTCCCTTTTTTTTTTCCCCCCCTCTCCTGTTGTCCTCCAATCTCAGGTACGATACCAAGCTCAAAAATTTTTGGTGACGAAGGATTTTCCGGGCAGTAACTTACACTGTGGTCCAACCTCTGTCCCTCATTGTCAGTCAGTCTCCAAACACTGACGTTAGGAACAGATCCCAGGTCAGGAAATCAGAAGTGCTGTATTTATAGCTCGTGCCTGTGAGCACATAAATTCTTTACTATATTCTAATACCATGTATTCTCTGAGTGTTGAAATTAATTAATGATATTTCATAAAGATGACATCATAAAGCATCTGCCAAAACTCTGGAACACCTCAGACTGAAAGTCTCATTGCAGATCCAATTATTTAACACTGCTTCAATTATGCAGCTAATCAAACACATAATTTAAAAAAAAAAATATTTTAAAATGATTCAACATGAATTATCAGCTTTAAAAAATACTGTTGTGAAAATATTAGACTCCCACAACATCCCAATAAAGGCAAGGCAGTAAAGTTATCTGCGTGCTAAAATTCAAGTGCATGCAAACATGTCTGGTGGATCAATGCCTAAACTAGTCTCATTACAGTAAACAGTGAAACGGTTTATAAAGCAAATTGAAGCTAGCCTGAAACTTTTCAAGAGAGCAGAGACAAAGAGAAATGGCAAGAAAACAGCCCTCGTGAACAAAGCCAACTTAGGCATAAGAATCTAAAGAAGTGAGTTAATAGAAGTAGTACCCTGTGTAAATCCAGTTCCAATAGTGTCACTTGGGCTATAACCATTGACAGGCGCCCTACTACTCAGGTCTATCATCTGGTGCAGGCGGAGCTTTCGGCAGTAGATGGAGGCAGCCTCGGGTTCCAGGGCAATGATCAACTGCTCCGGATTTTCAGGGGATGCCATTCCTGCCTGTGAGAGAGAATCGATCAGAGAAGTGGCGTGGGAATTGTCACAACCTAGCAGACCCTTTTCAGCAAGTGACCAAGCCTTTCCCCAGCTCACGGTTTCAGTTAGGTCAGCCCTCCGAGTTCAACACGCAAAGGAGCTGCTGCCATGGGCTAAAGGTCTTGAATCGTCCTGCCCACAACGTATAGCACAACTTCACAGGCTGTGACAGGGGAGTATGCATGCACTTACCATGCTGTGTCTAACTGAGCAGCTGGGTGCGTGACAGGTGGAGAAAGTCATTTTGAAACCTGTAATGAATGGCCCAAAACCTAACTCCTAATTACGCCATGAATCTGCATGCTAAGAGGCAGCCCTGCCTCCTTTAAGAAATGAGGGAATACCTTTGGCCTCTCCTCCCCACAACAATATTTTATGTATGACTGTCTTTATATCCCTGATACACAGTCCTTGCCAAAATGGACTCCCCACACCATGTAGCTTACTAGTAGTATACGATTCACTTTGCCAGTAATGCAACTTGTGACTTAAAAACCATATTTTCTATTTCAAAATCCATTGCTTTTAAGCACATTCACTTTTGTAACATCTTCAAAATCCTCAGGATATTCAAGGACTCAAAATACAATAGGGCAGGTTCCCTAAAATGTAATGAGAACGGGCCTAAAAATAATCCCACGTTATGAAAATTAACATTTGCCGTTCTTTCTCTTTTCTTTCTGGATTTTCAGCCTCCAGACACACAGATTTTCAAGAAGCCACAAGTTCTGAAGTAAATCCATCACTCTCAGAGCTGGGCTTAGAGAAATATATCAGAGAGCAGTTGACAAAATTGTGTTTTCATTTCTTTTCTCCTGTACTTCTTCCTACTGTCCGATTTTCTGTTAGAATACATAACAGTGTCTTTCAATTCTTTCTGCACAAATTTTGGTTGACCTGCTATTGTTTTTCAGTGAAGTGCCTTGGCGTTAAGGCATGCTAGCAAGTGAACACTAGTATGAACATTTTTCTGCTTTCGTGGTCAGTCTTCCAGCAAACCTTCACTTCAATACATACACACACACTGTGGTGGCTCCAGAGTATCCCTAAAAGAAGGCAGATTCACATGGAAAGACTGCGGACCTGGACTGGAATTTGTCTTCCTTCATACAGTTACACTGTGGGCAGTGGGCATTGCTAACTAGTATACACCTGCAGCTAGAAACTTGGAGTAAAGCTTGTTCAAAAAGCAATACTGGGGTAAGACTTGGAGACATAAAATTGTCCTTCACATTTACTGACTCATATTACATTATCTTAATATATGACATAAATAGATCTTTATACAAAGCATCCTCCTTATTGTTGGTAACAAAAAAAGGAAAAACAACAACAAATAAGTTCCAAACTAAGAAAATAATGGTTAAACTAATCGTAATTGGTCATTATTTCTAAAAGCACACCTCATGATTGGGATTATGGACACTTTGTGTCCTTTATTGCTGTTGGGCAAAACCTTCATCCGGACTCAACAGCATGACCTGAAATTAGTGGAACTGTCTGGGAAGGAGAATGCTGTGCAAATACCACAGAATATCAAACCTTGCCAGCTATGTGGCAGCACATACTAAAGTATGTGTATATATATACACTGAAAAGAATGTTTGCAACCAAACTTTCAAAATTTGGAAAATGCAGATTTACAGCAGTCCAAGTAACCCTAAAAAATATAAAAATACTATCAACCAGGTCCAAGCCAGACTCTCCTGCCATCACACCACTTGCATGCAAGCATGTTGGCAGGCACAGGCTTAGATAAAGCTCTGGAGCGGCACTGGGGATGAAGATGAAGTCCTTGCATCGTGCCGTAGTATAAACCCAGCCTTTCCTCCAACCAGCCCAGATGTACTAGGCACAAGCAGGGCTGGTTTCATGCCAGCTCCCTTCAACATCACTTATCTCCAGCTGAGCTCTTCTACACACAAAGCTCTAATTTGTTGCATTGGAAAGGGCAACATTTAAGATATGAATCGATACTTGGTCTGTGACAGATATTTATCTAATCTGCTAAAGAATTCAAAAAATGTATGGTCTTTGCACACGAACTGTCTCAGCCCTTTACTGTCTTTGCCTTTGAAAAGTTTTACCTAAAAGCCTAATCTGAATCTTGCCTGCTGCAATTTAAAGGCCAGCACTTCTGGCCCTATCCAGTAAGGGTATGGAGAACAAAGAGCTCCCCACTACCCTCCTGCAGTTTTCAGAGCTCTGAATCTGAGAAGCAAACATGGGGTTTTTTTTAATATCCAGCAATGTGGATGAACTTGGCATGTTCAGGCTGCTCCATGTACTGCGCATATGTCAGTAGCACAGACAGAGCAATTCATGTGTCCAACCTATGCACTCGAAGAGAAAATTATACTTTAGGGAAAAAATAGTTTGTTGCTAAGTACATTAAAACCAAAGGCTACATCCTAGAATATTTGCAGAGGAAGCAAGAACTGAGTTGCACACACAGGGAATGCACTGGTATTTCCTAACTTGAGGGGGGAAAGATTGTATTAATGGCAGTGTCATCTGTTCTAGGGGGGATTTTGGTACTAGTTTCCAAGGCTGGTTCTGCTAAAAGAAAACAGTAAACCATTAACAACAACATTTGCTTCCTCCCCTCCTCCAGCAGCAGTCTGTACCATGAACTTTTCACATCGCAGCCTGCACGTCAGGAGAGGAAGGCAGTGACCTGCAGCGGATGGACTCGGGTCCATGTTCTCAGACCCTCCAAGTACAGCAGATGCTATTCCTGCTACTTTTTCTCTCTAGATATTATTTTAACATACTCAAAATATGTCCTGAGGAAAACATTCAACAGAAATGACAGTTTTTAACAGTTCAAAGCACAGCTGATCCTAACAGAATTTCCTGAAGAAAATGGTGGGGTTTTTTTGTTAAAAAGCTTTCCTTACAGAGTTTGAAGGGCCAGTTACAATGAAGATTCTGTTACTTCACATCATAAAAAGACCACGCAAAGAATCTTGTACTGTGAAAGGTACTATGCATCCACCATATACATATTTATACATACGCATCGATACTGACTCTGTTTCATACCTTGTGTATGTAGTATTTCTACTTAGATAGCACATTACTGTACATATATAAGTCTATACGCAGCACAGAGAGAATGGGGGAAGGGGAGATGAGGATGAAACGTGAACACATACATACTGCCAGGGAGGAATGGAGCAATGAGGTTGCTTTAATACAAGCTGAGAAGATGAAGACTTAGGAGTCAGAACCTCTGTCCCATTGCTGCAGCCAAAGACAAAGGGACAGATGGGAGAAGAGTATTGAGTGTGCAGGGAAGGAGGAGTGAGAACAGCAGGCAGTCACCACAGAGAAACAGTGATGCATTCGTTAAAAATATTAACTGTAGAAGTTTGGGAACTCGCAGTATTTTACATTTGTTCCTTCCTATCTGACTCACCCTGCATCCTTGCCCACTGCTGCCCAAGTACTACTGTAACTGAGAACAGAGATTCACAATTTACAGGCTTGAACAGGACTGATCTAAACGGTGTCTTGGAATTCAACATTATATAGATAGTCTGGCAGTGGGACCAATGCATCACGGTGCTTTTGCCTAGGGCAGCTTATAGCAGACCTTATAACAGAGCCACGTCTTGACCCTAGTCTGCTTAGGAGATTTTCTTTCTCCTGTTATACTCACTAGCAGTATACCCCAGTCATCACTTATGAACCATGAGGGAAGCAGAGAGTGGTTTTCCCAAAAATGCAAGCATGGAAAACCCATCATGACATTACAAAAATCCTTTGGGCACCAGAATGTTCTTAAAAATTACTTTATTTGCAGTTCATTGCTGCATTTATATACCTGGAAGAAGCAAAGAATATTATGAAAAGAACCACTTTAAAAGCGTGCCCCAACCTCACTTTGCTCATATGCCTGAGGACTAGGATTTCACACTTTGACAGGAGAACTCCCAGATTTTCACTCACTCCAGTAAAATGGGCCTGTGAGCCAGTGCAGTGCTGTTCATTCGCCAAGATGCATCGTCGACAGCAAACCCCAAAGTGCTTCAAAGCCTCACATACCGGAGCGCAAATAACTTTACCATCCAGATGCAGGTGAATTCCCACCCTGGCACACCAGCTCTGTTTTTATAGCCAAAAATGTGTCACCAGATGAGAGCCACAGCTGACCACAAATACATTCTTGATTCCCTGAACAGTATCAGCTGCCAAGTGTTAGACTAATTCATCATTAGCAAATACCAAGGTCTGGACTGAAGCTCAGTATAGCAGTCTGAGCACTTCCAGAGAACTACACGATGTTCACTCACTCCATATGCAGAATCATCATTACTGCAGGTTAAAAGTTGCTACTTTTAAAACCCAGCCTCACATCCCATGATGCACAATGAAAAAAGCAATGCACATTTATTTTATTTTTGTAAGTATTGTAATGTGTATGGCCTTAAACACAGTGTTACAGTTGAATATTCCATGCAGTTTGAGCCTTTTTAAAAGGCAGTGAAAGCCATGAGGTATGCCTAGAGGAAAAGTTCCCATCTCTGAAAGCTGCTCTCAGCCACACTGCAGCTTTTCCCATTGTCTGGGGACACATAACCATGCTTTCCTGCCTGCAGCAGCACATCTTCAATCATTCTTGAATCTTCTGCCCTTCCATCTACGCTGGGCAATAACACAGACAGGCACACACACTTTCACAAGGTCACTGCCTAGGTCTAGCTTAGGATATATCATTAAAAAGGGCCAAACCTGCAGAATGAAACTTCACTGGGGGGCACAACAGTGATGATCAAACCACTGCCCTGTCTTGTGCAGACTTCCCAAGAACATTCCAAAAGGAAAGTATTTATGTTAAGTTTGCATGTATAATAATTAGACCTCTATGTCCCTGAGGTTGTGTGGAGGAAGAACAGCCTACAGCATGGCTGTCAAACCCGACTGAAGCTGCGGGCCGGCCCCTACACAACTCTACCCTG